CGACTCACGGCAGCCCAGCTCCAGGTTGAGCTGTTGTTCATCATCATAGCTGTAGAGGGCGCAGTGTCACTGGCTCTCAATGTGGGATCCAAACCGCGGCCCTGCTGCTTGGAGCTGGTGCTCCCAAGCGAGCTCTTAACCAGCTGAGCCACTCAGCCAGCCCTAGTCACTCACATTTTTTTGTAAATTAGTTTGAGGTCCCAATGATAGCTAATGGAAAAGCTGTTTTGAGGGAGTAACAGTTTTGATGGGCGGGGATGGATGACTTTGGAGCACAGTGTATTGCCAAGGAAAGGCCAGTTTGGGTATGATAGGACAGCAAATGGTATGTACATCCAGGGCTACTTGATGTTGGGAGGAACGGATACAGGGAAGAGCAAGGACAAGAAGGCAGAAAGCAGGATGACAAATACTAAAAGGCAACCTTTCTCTTTGATCTTTTCTAGATTAGCTTGCACAGTGTTTCTTTTGTCCATTTTCTAAGGTGTGCAAATAGTGGCCTTCAAAAGAATCCCCAGACTTTTTTGGGAGTGTGACTAGCTTGGGTTCTCTTGGCTCATGCTTACAGTCTGGCTTTGCTCCGGAAATCTCCCACCATGTTCCAAGAATTTCGTGGGCACATCTCTCTCCCCATTAATCACAGAGTTGCTTCAGCAGCCTTTCTCACGACTTTGTGTGGCCCCCTAATACTGGACTTATGCCCAAAGAGAGTGACAGTATTCCACAGGTGAGTGTAGTATTTCATTAAGGGGGTGATCTGGCCTGAGCTCCCCTGAAAGACCCTCTAAAGACACACACAACAGTTACTCCAAATCTTTGGAAGAAGTCATGTTTCTGCTTCCTCTGTGTAGTATACAGTCCACATTTATTAATCACGTACTCTGGACCAAGGCATAAAAGAGTGCTTTACATGCCATGTCATCCTGAATCCTTGCAGACAACCCTATGAAGTAGGTACTATTTTTTCCCCTCAAACTATATTTGATGAAAAGGAGAGTGTGTTAGGATTCCATTCAGCTATAGCTAATAGAAAACATGACATATCATGCCTCAAACAAATAAGGGGTTTATTTTCCTCATGTTGTAGAGGGGAAAGGGAGGCAGTTCAGGCCTGATACGGTGGGCTCCAGATACCATCAACTCTTCATTCCAGCATCTATAGCATGTAGATTTCTTCCTCAAGTTTGTTGCCTTGTGGTTTCAAGGTAGCTACCCTACCCCTGGCATTGCGTCAGCATTATGGGAAGGAAGAAGAAAGGCTAAAGCAGTGGTTCTCACTTGGGTGTGATTTTGTCCCTAAGGGACCTTTGACAATACCTGGAGACATTATTGTTTGTCACAACTTGGGGGATGGGTGTTGCTATTGGCATCTTCTGTGTAGGAGCCAAAGATGCTGCTAAACATCCTACAGTCTGTAGGACAGCTCCCACAACAAGACTCATCTGGCCCAAGATGTCAATAGTACTAAGGTTGTTGAGAAACTCTGCACTAAAGGCAGAAAGCATATGCCAGCTGAGTCTCTCCTCTTATAAAATGGATTCTTGGAAGCAGAACAAGGACTTTGTTATATGGCATTGGCCAGAATCTCTTTCCACAGTCGACTCTAGCTGCAAAGGAAGCTGGGGGATGCAGCTATTTTTTGTTGGGTCCATTGTCACCCTGAGCAGAATTGGGGTGTGATAGTAAGGGAAGGACAGGAGAATGGATATTGAGTAGACAATAGGTGGTTGTCGGGTGCAGCCCCTTTCCAGAGGTTTGTGTGAATAAGGGATGGAAATGCATGCAATGGTTAAGGAAAACTCTGGAGTTTTTCATCAGCCATGAGTAGCCTAGGAAATATTTTTTGCAGGACATAATATGCAGCCTGGTATCTATTGATACCACAGTTTTCTCAGTATTTGCAGTGGAACTTGCCTTTCCTTCTTGTCCATGTAGCCTGTGGGGTAATGGATTTCAGGCCTGCGTCAATAATACTTTACCCTTCAACAAGCCATCAACTGGTGCTTCATTTCTCCTATTTTGAAAACGTTAAAAAGTGATGTGATCACTATTTGCCTTAAAGGGTATATCAGTTAGAGTGTATTCAGGAAAACAGATGCCCTTCTAAGTATGTCAAGCAGGAGCATATATAATATGGGGAATTGGAGGCTTATGCAAACATTGGAAGGGCTGGGGAAATGAAGCGCAGAGTCTGCCAGTGATCTCTGCTGCCCTTGCACAGAAGGGTCTTCTTAGGAAAATGCCTGGAGGCTGCTGGCAAAGTGCTCTCTCTGCTGTCTGCCCACAGAGGCCCTTGTGCCTGCCAGTGGCTACCAACAGCGAATGAAGAAATGGTGTCTCCTTCTCGTCTACCTTTCAAATCTCCTGTGAGTGCTTCTCATTGGCAGAGTCTAACCTGGAGTCAGGACCCATGGGATTTGGGGAGATGTAGTTCTGAAGCTTCTCAGAGAAAAATGGAGAATGGAGTGGGGTGGGATGATGTGGAGTTGACAACAAACTGTCTGGCGGAGGAGTATTTGAGTTTGAATAAAGGCATACACACACAGAACATTGGGGAAAAAGAGCACTCTGTTCAGACGTCAGCCATGTTGCTACCAGTATTATTACCTTATTCTACCTGTGTGTCCTTGGAAGATGACCAGGGATCCTTTGTATCTCTGTTCTGGCTCTCTTGAAGTCATGATGCTTCTAAATAAATAATAAAAAAAGATTCAATGACCACATATAGTGCAGAAGGTAATATATTCTGTGAAGCTCCACAGTGCCGTGGGGGGTCCCAGAGCGTGAGGTTTGAAAAACTGCATTTTTCACCAGCATGCTTCGGGAAGACCAGTCTTCAGAAAACAGTTGCAGATGACTCAGCTTCTATATTTCTTTATTGTGGGGGAGATTCTCTGGAGCTCTTTATTTGCTATAGTTTTGCATGTGACTGGTGTTGAGCTGATAAAATACAATGAGGTATTAAACAGTGAGGAAAATAATAAAACGATCTTGGAACAAGTTAGCCTATAGACATATGACAAATTATTTGGTATTGACGGGAGAGTTGTAACCTCTAGTTATCTGGTATCTGGGTCACATCAGGCTTTCAGTGTAACTCACTGGCTTTGGAAGGCAGAATTTGATCTAGGCTATATTTGAGTCTCGCAACAGCAAAACCCATTATGACTATGTCCTACGGCACTTGTAAAATCCTATCTGAGTCTCGAGTTTCAGGTTTCTGCTGATATATTTAATACTTGAATTATTTCAAGGAAGATAAGGCAAACGTACTATCTTATTCTATTTATTTCTTGAGTGAGGAGAATTGAAAGGGACTAAAGGAGAAAAACTCATTACCATGAACAGTGTGCAAAGGTCACTGGTTTTGCTTTGCTGGAATAAAACCCATGCGTTTGGGGTTGCTGGTGCCTCATGTTGGGTCTTCTGGAGGCAAAGCTGAAGATGAGGATTTGTGTACAAGGGATTTATGATTTATTCAGCTTTCAGCCAAGAGAAAGCAGCAAGGGAATGGGGGAAGCCAGACAGGGAAGGGTGAGAGACAGGCAAGCATGCGATTTTAAGGAAAGTCTCAGCCTGGTCCTGCCGGGAACTCTGGAGTGCAAATTATACCTCACGGTTCATCCTGAATTGTGTGGCAAAGGAGCTGGGCTTTCGTAGTTCTGCTACAGTCAGTCATTGGCTAGGGCTACGGGGGTGGGGGTGGGGATGGGGGCTGAGGCAGATAAGCTCCCAGGGGGCTTTCAAAGAGTCTCAGGTGTTGGCCATTAGAAAAGAAAATGAACATAGATGCTGGGGAGGGATGTACAGAAGTGATAGAAGGGCTTCCATGGGATCTGGGCAGAGCCCTGACAATCTAGTTACTCTTTGAGTAAGCTGCTCTTTTGTTTTTATGAAACCCAGAATCTGGGGAGAAGAGAGAGATAAATTTTCACGTGGCACTTTAAAGTTGCTCTAGAGCAAGGATCGGGAAACCTTTTCTATAAAGGTCCAAGTAGTAAATATTTGAGACTTTGTGGACGACAGGGTTTCTGCACCAAATGGTACAAAAGCAGCCATATATTACATGTAATTGAGTGGCCATGGCAGTGTTCCAATAAAACTTTATTTATAAAAAACAGATATGGGGGAAGAGAGGACTAAATTTGGCCCAGGGGCCAAAGTTTGCCAGTCCCTATGGTGGGAGGCTCCTTGTATGTATCTAAGGTGATTTTTCCTTTATCCATTCCCTATATGCTGTAAAACACAGGGAATAATTAGCATGACTATCAAAAGTATGGTTATGATGTCTCTTAAATTAGTCTGGACCCCCTACCTCCAATCTTCCTGGCATCCTGGCTATCATTCACAGTGTTGCACAGATAATCTTGCTGAAGGGTGACTCATCTCATTTTACTCCTGCTAAAAATATTTAGTTCTGTCTTATCTGTAAAGTAAAATCTAGGCTCTTTAGCATGGCATTTGGGAATCCCTGTGACCTGGCCCAAGCCATTTTTTTCTGCACTGTTTTCTCTTCCTCACCCCTTGTGCTTTTCTAGTCCAACTACAGCAGCGACTCCATCTCTCCCACATGCCCTTTGTTTCCATCTCCCTGTCTTTGCCCCTGCTGTTTCTTCTCCTGGCATGTGCTTCTGCTCAGCTCTGCATTTTGAAATGCTAACCATTCTCTAAGACTCATTTTGTGCTCCTCCCCCGCTCCATTAAGCATTCTCCCCATGAGGAAATCCTCTCTGTTTTAGACTTTGGTAGCAATATTGTCTATTTCAATTAAAACCTTTATTTTATTTATCTTATACTGTATAGTCATTTGCTCCACTCACTATATTTTAGTATTTGTGGGCAGGAATTAACTTATTTTTTTTTTGCCCTTCACAGTGGGTTGCATATAATAGATGTTCAGTAAACGGAGTTCTCAGATGAAGGTTGCATTCCTACATCCTGTGATTATTAATGATTTAAGTGCTGAAACTCTGACATCATTTTCTTTTTCCTTTTTATAGGCAAGAGCTGTTTTGGCAAAAGTTGGCTATCCTGAGTTTATAATGAATGATACTCATGTTAATGAAGACCTCAAGGCAGTAAGTGCTAAATTTACTGTATTTTTTTTCTGGCAAGTTTCACTGGCCTTATGCCTTTCAACTAACCCAAGTCCAAGCAATTAAACCTGGTTGTGCCAGAAAGCACCAACTTTTGATTCATTCCTTGGCTAGATATGAGCCTCAATACGCCAGGCGTATCACAAGATTTAGAGCAGATGCAAAATAAAAGATGTGTCAGAAGGAATGTATAGCTGAGTGGGTACCATAAAGCAAATGGACTTGGCCTCGGCCTCATTTGACCATAAAGGAAAGAATTAAGCAATTCGACTATTTATAATTAGTGAGCATGTTCTAATGGTGAATGCATGATATTTGTTGTTAAACCATCTTTATGTGCTTCATTCATATTAAATGACTAGTAATAAATCTGCCTGCTGGGAGTTAACTTCATTAAACTTTATGAGTCTTTGCAAATTAAGTGCATATACATATGACTCTCTAATTTATCGTGAGTTGGACTGTATATTTGCAGTAAGTTACCGATGGAGGGAGAGTAATAATTCTTTTTTATTCCAGTATTTTGGGACATGTATTTTTCAGTAGATATATTCATTACAGGCCTTTCTAATCACAACCACTGTTATTTCATTTTCTACAAATTGTTCTGATAAAGACTTTGATTCCTCATAAAACCCCTATTTTTATCATTTACTAGATTTTGTTTAAAAAGCAGTTCATTGGAATTCTTCAAATAACTGTGGTTTTGAGGTGAGGTGTAGCTCTTTCCTGAAATTGTGGTTTTACAGATTGCATACCTGCAAGCAACCCTAGCTTTGTAGATGAATATCAGAATTTTGCAAGATTATTCAAAAGTGAGTGAAGGCTTTAAGTAGAATGTTTCTCCATTTGGCTGTAAGATGCAGCCTTCCAAAGTATTGATCCAGTTGCTATGGAGGAAGACGATTATGCTTCACAGTATCCCAAAGCTCAGACAGCCCATTTTGTTATACATTGTTATGATGTGGCAAAAATCTCACTTTATTCTGATAATTAAAAATACTAATGCACTTGACACATTCATGTACGTTATCTTTGAATCCCCACAGTGATCCTGTGAAGTAGATGGTGGTTAGCCTCATTTTGCAGAAAAGGATGTGGAGACTCAAAGAAGTTAAGTGATTTTCCCAGTGCCACACAGTGTCAGAGCTAGAACTGAAATCTGGGCCCCAGGAAGCTCTGCCTGTAACCTGAGACGGAGTTCTGCAGCATCCTTGTCACATAACTATGCTGGAGGAACAGAGGAGTGGGGTTGAAGACATGGTGGGAGTTGCTTTTCCAGAGCTAGTTGGACGGGAGAAGAGAAAAAGGGAGGTCGTATTGTCAAGTGGTTAAGAGCACAGGCTTTGGAGTGAATCTGCCTCTTCCCCTTACTAGTTGTTTGGTCTTGCGCAGGTTATGTGACTTCAGTTGGCTTCCCTTTGGTTATCTAGATACTGGAGATGATAATAACCGAGTTGTAGTATTGTTGGGAAGATTAAATGAGGTTCTATAAAATGTAAAAGCAGCTAGCATAATGTCTGATGCCCAAGTTGGCTCCCTGTAAATGGTAGCTTTTACTTTATGGATCAGTATGGGAACTGAGGAGAGCCTTACCAGGGTACAAAGTACGTTAGCAGGAGAACCTGGTTTCCATACCGAATTTAAGAACTCAGTGAATGCAGTACCTTTTGTGAAAAGAAACCAGATGTCAAACAGGATGCAGTGTTGGGTAGTTTCCTTGTTTCTCCAGGGCCTGAACTGCAGCCATTAGACACCAAGATTTTAAAGCACTTTTGTGAAGAAATGGCTTTCATCTGACTCATTGCCAGAGCAGACACAATTATACCCAAGAGTTTCTAACAGTTTAAAAAACAGATGGTGAAAATAATCCAAATACATGAAATAAAAATACATTTGTGTTCAGAAACGGATAGAGGAAATGAATAAAACCCAACTTGAAAATAGGTAATGGATGCTTGATGTGATAGTAAGAGTGTCACTGAGGTTAATAGCAGAAGGACTCAAGTATTGCAGGCACACAATGGGACTGTGTTTCCAGTTTTGAGAAACATGTAGATAAGGACTACTATACTGCCTACGAGAAATGTCTGGTTATATAAGCTCTGAGCAGGAGAGGCTTTTACAAATGAAAAACAGCTTATTTGACACAAGCAAAGATATGATTCATCAGGTATAAATGCAAAAGGAAAGAGGATAGAGATTAGGTAATGGATCCGATGAAGGTCAGGGAGAAAGGTTGAAAACTGAAGTTGGGCCCATGTGGAGATAAGAGCAAATGGAAAAGAACTGAGAGGCAAATGTAAAGAATTAGAGAAAAAAAAGTTTTCCCCTCCGAGGATGACAAGGTAAACCGAGATACCCAGCAAAGTATTTCTGAACAACAGCCCTTCTGTAGTCTTTGAAAAGAGCAAGAACAAAGGAACTGTCCTTTATGCGAACAGCCAGCAGCATGCAGGAAAGCCTACTAGTTAGCCTAGAAAGGGAGACGTCAGTCCATTTTCCAATTAGCCTCGCTCAGGGTTCCTTCATTGATCCTTGATGGAAATAAACTCAAGAATGAGTTAAAACCAATTTTGTAAAGACTGGCGGTGCATCAGCCGGGAAGCCAAAACCACGCCAGGTATTTCAAAGACAGGAGATTTAGTAGAGGAAATAGTTTAGAAGGTAAAAATCAGGAAGGTGAGGTAAACCAGAAGCTCATAACTTCAGGAAGCAGCTACCACCCCTGCGTCTAGGAGCACACGAGGGAGGAGGGGCTGATGGTACCATTGCTTAGGAGAGCAGGAGAAGAACTGCCGGAGCTGAGGCTGTGGACGAGGGGAGAAGATTGTCTCAGTCATTGTCAGCAGAAGAAAGGGGAGAGAGAATGAAAGCGACCAGACCCAGCATCCGTTCCCCTCCTGCCGCCTGATGATTTTCCCCAGTGCCTCCTAATGGCAGGGAGCCATCTGGCAATGGAACCTAAACACTGGAGTTTTCAAATTCCCAGCCCCTGCATTCTAGAGCCGAGTAAAAGGGAGAAACAAAAGGTAAATGACCAGCAGCATTAGGCACTTCACTCATTACTGTGAAAGCAAGTGGAGAGTTGCAGTAGGGACTAAAGTCAGAATCACAGCTGACTTAGGAGAACTGGATATGGGTTATTTTTCCAGAGAAGATCAATGTTTCTGGCAAATGATGCACACATACATACATAAACATGTAAATATGCATATGGAGATACATAGATATTCTGTGAACCTACATAACATTCTCTGGGGTAGGTCCTGGTCTGCTCTAGCCAGTAGAGCACTGATGTGTGTATGTGTGTGTGTATGGTGTGTTTTGTGGTCTATAAATGACAGAGAGTGCTACTGCCACTGTGCAAGAATGAGGCGATATTTAGTGGAATGATCCAGAAAGATAGGTCGTTAAAATATTGAAATAATTCTGAACTCTTTGGTAAAAAAATCGAAGCATTGCCCTTGGCCCTCCCAAGTGATTTCTGGCCACCATGGCCCTGCAGAGCTAAGAGTGGGCACTGAAGTGGGGTGCCCACCAGCCTGCCATCCTGTCCTCCATAACTGCCACACACTGGCCTTCATCTAGAGTGTGCTCCACTGGCCAGAGCAGACCAAGACTTCCCTTTCCCTGGTGGTGGCAACAGGGCATCTGAGTCCATCTGGTTCTTGGCTGGTGTGCTAACTACTGCTACCTCAGAGTCACCCTTACACGGCTGCTTGTGAAAACTGCATTTTCCACAGTGAATCATGTGTGTAGGCTGTTAAACATTTTGAACATCACCCTTGTATGTAGGTGTGTATGTGTATGTGTGTGTGTGTGTATGTATACACTACTTATGGGCAAAGCCATCTAAACACAACAATCTTGCATGTTACTTTGCTATTTAAGGGAAAACGTAAATAGCATATAAAATCTGGATCCATTAAGTATTCAGAAAATTCTTTGGGTGTGTAATATAAAAGATTTCTTATACATATTTGGACATATGTCTGAACATCTTTAAGTGGATTTAACATAAATAGTATTCTAGAATCTATACTTCCTATTGGCTTATGTAGTAGTTTATCAATATGTACTTACTGTTTGTACTGAGAAGCTGTGCACACTTCCTTGTTCTATGCTGATTACGTGTTCCTCACCTTTGGCTGGGAGAAACAGCTTTATTTTTCCATTTAATCGGTGGCATTTGGTGCTTGGCATCCAGGATAGGATTTCCAAGAAGAGAAATTCAGATTCCCCTAAATTTTATGATCTGGACAGCTATTCCTAGGAAATGACAGGAGAACCCCAATTACTTCTCCAAAGGTCACTCAATTGAAAAGTCAGGAGATAAAATTGATTGAAAGTCATTATCAACTTGACCTAGATTTTCACCAGTAACTGAAAAGACAAGAGGCTTTCGAGCCAATTATTGTCATGTGCAGAGTTTAAAAAATTTTTGAAGATTATAAGTGGTTTTAAAATATTCATGTGCACTCATTCTTATTGCTATATTTAGAACAAGCAGGACTTCCCCAATGGTTGCTAAGTTTCATAGTTTTTTTCTCAAGGGCCTGTTGAAATATTTGAAATTATCAAAGTATTATCACATGGTGGAAAATTTGGGAGATAAAGAAAAGGAACGAAAAAGCACCCATATATTGGTACTTGAACATAATAATACATGCTTTGTTTTAGGGTGTTGTTTTTGTCCCTTTCTCTATTGTTGTATAGCTGTAATTGATGTTTATGTATAATTTTGTATACTGACCTTTGTCATTAACATATTGTCTTGCTCTTGTCTTTTGTAGCCTTTATCACCATTATTTTAACAGCTGTATGATTTAAGAAAACCATACCATGATTTATTTAATCACTGATTCTCCTTCCACTGTGATTCTTACCTTCTCCTCTCCTTCCCTGTACACTTTCTATTAAATCAGTGGTTTTCTTATTAGGACCAATGAAAATGACATTGAAGTAGGAGCCTGATGATTTGGACTGGATGGCTTTGCTGAGTTCCACAATCTCTCCAGCTCTGTTTCCCATCTATCACATGGGAATAACAGCGGCTGGCTCTTCCCAAATACTTAACCTATCTTGCAGGAAAAAGTAAAATTTGTCCCCTATTACCTGTGACTACCATTAGATAAATGAAATAGATCAACTAAACCACGCTAAGAAACAACAAATACTCTGTTCAATGAAACAAACTTTTAAGTTGTTCTTCTAAACGTGGGTAAGCTGTTGGCAAACTGTAATTGCTTACCTCTGAGTTTTGCTCCCCATTCTTATTTTCATGGTTGCGGTAGGACCTTATTTATTTAAGATAGTTTTAGATGTGGGACTCTTCTTTAGAAAATTTTTGGATGGTTTTTTATTTGATTTCTGTAGAACAACCTGAATGTCAACGTTTTTTGTTTGTTTGTATTTCAGAAGAACAGGAAAATCTCACGAATAGCAAAGTCTTCTGAAAGTTAATAACTAACCCTACTGATATTACAAAAAAAAAGTTAATATTTTTCAAGGAAATTCCTTTGGGAGAATTTCCTGGAAAGTGTGCTTACAATCATATTCTGAAAGTTCTGGCAGAGCTGTCTTGGGTTCAAAAGCTGAAAAAGGCTAAGGTTTGAAGAGTGCACACTTTTTTTTTAACTATCCAATCTAGGAAAGCATTAGGATTGCTACATGAGGTTGCTTCCTAAAACAAGGAGCTTACGCTATTTCTTCCGAGGCTGAGTATAAGCATCTGTCTTAAAATACAATTGTAAAATTTCTTTTTATTATGAAGTATCTCAAACATTGGAAAAATATGGAAAATCATATATTGAATACATCTAACTTTAACAAATATTGAGCAAACTAGCTTTTTACATGCACACACACATTTTAAATGAATAAAACAGTTATATTGGAAATTGTTTGTGTAATCGTCCTTAATCTAATGTCCTTCCTCCTTCCCTAGATATAAACACTAGTTTGAATTCCATGTTTATCTTTCCCATGCATCTCTTTATGCTTTTGCTACATAGGTACAACATACAGTACAATTTTACATGTTTTAAAACTTTAAATTCTCTCATATATACAACTTGTCTTATTCAACAACATTGCTTTTGAGATTATTTCATGTTCCCATATACAGACCATTTGTTTAAATTGCTCTATTGTTTTCCATTATGTGACTATACCACGATTTATTTATCAGCCTTTCTTGTAAGAGGATTGAGGGGCAATTTAAAGCTGTGTCTTTATAACTTGTTGGCCAAGTAAAACACCAAGGATGCCAGGAATTGATGCTTTCATTCCTGCCTTTTTCCCTGGTGCCTTTAGTTATTTGACTACTTTCTTTATATTTTGGCCTGGCCCCCTGCAAAGATTATTAAGATGAATCACTAAAAAAAGCTACTCTACAGACATAATAAGTATTCACTATGTTAATAGAAAAGGTAAACCTGAGCCAGACATTGGCCAACAAATATGCTGCTATCAAGTCTATAATCATCAAGTTGTATCTATACATTCATATCTGTACTGTAATACCTGTGGATTTCATATGCATTCACTTGCTATATTTTAATTTTTGCTTTTAAAAGAGTCTCATGGTTTAAATTTACAAAAATTATACAGCTAATAAGAATTTTATTACTCTTGGTTATTTGTTTATTCAAATGTGTATTTTTCTTATTTGATACAGTAATATATTTTAAAACCAAAGCTTCAGAGATCATTACAAGCCATTACCTTTACTGTTACACAGATATTATTTATAATATTTAGATTACGTACTGCTAGTTTTGTAGAGAGAGTGCCTATGAAATTGAAACTGTCTACCATTCTTCCAAAAAAAGAAAACAAGTCAAGAGTCAATTATGTCTGTTTTCCTATTTTCATAGACAGCATTGCTGTGAGTCATCAACTTACTGTTTTTCCATGCAAGCTGTAATCTGTGATTTGCTTCTGTAATTTCATTATTTTTTAGTGACCAGAGCATTTTTGAGTCTTAATAGACAAATTCTATTAATAATTAAATTATTCTAATGACTCCAATGTGTTTGGGGTGGAAAATAAGTCTCTGAATTGCTTTCCTTGTTTTTTCTTTCATGAACAAATGCCGATTACAGTCAATTGCATTTTAACATTTGACTAAATCATCATCTATGAGCTAAATGAGATTTCAGCTGGCTAAACTGAATGTTATTAGAAGAACCTATGTGACAAATGAAGTACACATTTTAGAAAAAATCAAGGGCTCATGGGCTGAGAAATTTCAAACCTAAGATAATATGTCCTGTAAAGGGTTAAAGTAGATTTGTCAATTGTAAAACAAATGAAACACATTGTAAACTACTTAGCTTCTCTTGTTTGTTTGTTTTTTACTGTGATCCAGAAATGACCATATTAATTTTTGAGATTTTTATCTTAAAAGAAAATCACTGAGATAAAATTTCATGGCTTTGTGCATACTGGGTAAACCGATAATGGCTGAGAGATGCTATGAGGACTGCAGCTTCTCTGTTGATTGCTCATTTGTGCACTGAAGTCTTTTGTCAGAACCATCTCTTATCTGCACTTAGAATAGTGATCATTGTGGTTTGTTTTATTCAGATCAAGTTTTCAGAATCTGACTACTTTGGCAATGTCCTGCAAACCCGCAAGTATTTAGCACAGTCTGATTTCTTCTGGCTGAGAAAAGCTGTTCCAAAAACAGAGTAAGTAAAAAATAAATAAATAAAATAAAGTGAAATAGATAAATATGTTGGTGGGAAGTAGAGTCTATTTGGATCAAACTTTGTAATTCCCCTCAAGTCAGAGTAGCTGGCTTGCCAGTTATTGTGGTTTGGCAAAATCTGTGTTATGTTCTGGCAACTCTCATTTCTAATATTATATGAATGAGTTCAATCTAATTATGGCTCTCCCACTCCTAGCATCAACACATCAAAAGAAGGCTTATTAGGATGCAAATGTTCAACTCATAGATCTTGTTAGGAATAGACGAGGTGTGATCACAAAATATGGTGAATGTTTAAATTAAAAAAATTTAAAGTAAAAGACACATTGCCATTAATGCCCCTCAAAACACTCCCCCTCGCTTTGAACACACTTATCCCATCGTTCTTGCCACTTTCTGAAGCAGTTCTGGAAGTCCTCTTTCGTGCGTGTCTTTACGAGAATTTAAGAAACGATGTGCATAGAAAATGGCCTGAGAAATGGGCAAACAGTTTCATCTTTCATCATGACAACGCTCCATGTCACACATCACTTCTGGTAGGGCAATTTCTGTCAAAAAAATTATTATGGTGTGTCCTCATCCACCTTATCCACCAGATGTGGCATCATGCGACTTCTGGCTCTTCCCCAAAGTCAAAATGATTCAGGACATCGAGGCAGCTATGACAGCACAACTGAAGACACTCACGAAAAAGGACTTCCAGAACACCATATACAGAAGGTGCCAAAAAAGGTATACACTTTACAAAAGGAAAAAACTATTAAAATTGTAATACTCAATATATACTGATAACAAAAGATGAATCAAGTCACATTTGACTTTTGCTATTACAAGAGGTGCTCAAAGTGGTTACCATCAGCGTCCAGACACTTCTGAATATGGCGAACTACTGCTTGAGCAATGTTGACCAAAGTGTCCACTTTTATACATTTTTTGGCACCTCCAGGGTGTGTGTGCGCGTGTGCGCGTGTGCGCACACGCACACACACACACACACACACAAACATCCTGGGGGTGCCAAAAAATGTTTTCACATGACTTGTTTCATCTTTTGTTATTGGTATATATTACTACAATTTTAATACAGTTTTTTCCTTTCTTAGAATGTGTATACATTTTATTTTTTTGGTTCTCTCTCTCTCTCTCTCTCTCTCTCTCTATATATATATATATATTGTTTTTGAAATTCTTTACATATTTTAATTCATTTTATCCTCATGTCAATTCTGCGAAGTCTAAGTACTATTTATTATCCCCATTTTACAAATGACTAGAGGCTTACAATTGAGAAATTCGTCAGCTTAGGTTTAGATTACTTTTTGTTCTTGCCTGCTGGCACTTTTGACTCTGTTCTGCTATAATTCACTTCTCCAATGTGTTTATGTCTCTGTTCTCCAGATTGGATAATTTCTATTGACTGATTTTCAAATTCACTGATTCTTTTTTGTGCATTCTCAAATTTGATGTTGACCCATCTAACAAATTTTTCATTTTGATTATTGGACTTTTCAACTCCAAAATTTCCATTTGGTTGTTTGATTTTTATAGTTTCTATTTCTCTGTTGTGATTCTTTATTTGTTGAATTATTGTCATCATATTTCATTAATTCTTTGAATATAGTTTATTTTAAATCTTTGAATGAATTTATAATGGCTGCTTTCAAGCATTTGCTAAATCCAACATCTGGGCTCACTCAGAGTCAGTTTTCATTGATTGCTTTTATTTAGTTTTACAGTTTTATCTTTCTTTGCATAGTTAATTTTTTGTTGTTGAAAATGACACTTTATTTATTACTCAAAAATTATTTTTTCCAGTTACAGTTGACATTCAATATTATTTTACATTGGTTTTAGGTGTACGGCATATGATTAGATGTTTATATAATTTATGTAGTGATTCCCCTCCCTGCCCCCCAAATTGGAAAGTGGCATTTTAGCTTATGTAGCAACTGGATTCTGATTTCTTTTTCCGAAGCTTTTTTAAAAGTAACTTTCCTGGACTTACACTGCAGAATTTGTCTCCCCTATAATATTTAGCTGTGAATGTCTCTGCTCATTATTAAATTCTTATTTTTATTTTTTAGCTTCACTTCCTCGCATTTGTTCCGGTATGTGCATAGTTTAGTGCTTAGGGGATCAGGGCAGAGCTTGCGCTCAAACACCTGTAGCCTGTAGGGCTTCTATCCTCTGCCAGTTGGTCTGTGTGGGGGTTTGGGAGTACATTGAAAATTGCAACCAGTTCTCAGTCAGCACTAGATTTTACTTCCCACTGAGCTCTCTCTAGTTCCCCCTGTACATGTGCCTAGCTCCCCAGTCAGCCCAGGGTGTGTGGAGAGCTTATCTCACCCTTCTATGACTCTTTCAGCTCTGGGATCTCCCTTTTCAATTTCTGTCTGGTCCATTGCTCTCCCCAATTGGAACTATAACTTCAGGCTAGCAAAGCTGAGGGCTTTCCTCATTTGTTTTTTTACTAAGTTCACCACTTTTAGCTGACAAAGCTGCAGGTTTTCACCCTCACTCCTAATTGAGTCCACCCACTGAGGCAGCAAAGCTGCTGATTTTCCAGCCAGCCCTATCCTAATAAAACTAAGCTCTCACTGCTGGAGCTGGGATGGATGGGAGCAGTCTCAGGCCAGAAGGCTTATAGACTCCTATTGTACTTCCAGCTCTAGCAGTTTTTCAAAATTCTACCTTTTTTCAATTTGTTGTTTGCCTTTGATCAATTCTCAGAGCCCAAAAATGATTGCTTGTTGACAGTTCTGTCCAGTTTTATACTTGATTTTTGTGGAAAGGATTTGTTAATCTTTTCATAACATCATAGCTGGAAGCCTGGCTTTGATGACCTCTTTTTTTTTTCCCACCGTCCGCTTTTTAACCTTGACTGCTATTCTGGCCTCCAGATCTCTAGCTCTTTTTATGTTCTCTGGGTCTCTAGTCACTCTTCTTTGAACTCTCTGCACTTCTGACCTCTGGAAACTCTAGGCCCCATTCCCCTCCCTTGGCTTAAGCTGTGATGACTGCCTCTCCATCTTAGCCATGACTACCATCTAGTCATACCTCTCTTCTGCCCTTCAAACCTTTCTACAACACACACCCACAAAATTAGTTAGAAGTGTTAATGTTTGGCTTAAGTAGAAGGCCTAAAGCTGAACCACTCCCCTAGCCATACCTGACTCCAATCAAAAGCACAAAGGAAGAAAACAGAAGGCTTTAGAGGTTCTTTGGAAATGACAGATAACTGGTTTAAAGCCATCTGCACCATTGTCCTTGATTATTTCCTCTTACCTAGTGTCTCTCAGTCCATCTCTCCTACTTCATTCGCAACCTAAATTATTCAATAGCAATTTTAGATTTAGGGTCCTAAAACCAGCGTCTCAAATGCAATGTGTTCAGCAAATGGTTTCCAATATCCCACTGAGCATCTACATATAGTATGATAGTCACAGATCTATGTATATCATCCTGCCCTTTCAGATTATTTCAGATCAGTTCAGCCTTTTTTTTTTTTTTTGCGTCTTGTGGGACATTCAAGGATCTTACCAGTACTTCTGTGACTTTTCAGGGTCTTCTCAGGGACTCCTCCATATTGGAGATGCTGCCAAGTTAATTCTTTAGTTTCAAAATGATGTTATTCATTTGGGTGTGGAGCAAAGCCTGGGTTGCTAATTGGAAAACTCCTAAATGTGTCATCTTTAACATCATCCTGAAATGCTGATGGGCTGTCAGATTCTGATGGCCTTCACTATTTCTAATATTTTATTCATGCCTTGGAAAAATACTGGCCGACTTTGTGGGCTTAGGTAAACTGTGTGATTTGCATCGTTTTCTTCTCTGTCAATGAAAACAACCTCTTTCAGAAGGACATTACATTGGTTAATGTTTCTGGAATGTTCTTCAGGAATGACAATCAGTACAATGCTAGTAATTCTTGTTTCCTCAGACTATTTATTTCAGGGAAAGCAACATTAAGAAATTTCATGTCCTGTTTGCCCAGTAAAGTGACATGATGGTTAATTTTTAAAAGAGATTTCGGGCTGGTCTTTTTCAGGCAGGGTAGGTAATTTTAGCTTCATGATACCCATTGACTTTAATCAACATCCTTTAGGTCTGAAAATCCATGAGTTAATCGAGTTGAGATGGTTCTGGAGTAGCTCCATGACACTAGTTTACTTCGAACAGCACATCATGATTATATTTCCACAAAGCCCTGAAATAACATTTCTCTTTGTTGTGAGTATAGGAGATAAATATCCTTTATCTTTCATTCTCATGGAATCCATTTTAGCTGCACTAATGTGCATTAAGAAGTTTTTTTTTTTTAAAGATTTTTATTGGGGAATTGGGGGGATGGGAACAGTGCTGGGGAATTGGGGGAAGGGGAACAGACAAGTTGCTGTCATTTTGTTCTTCAATCTAGTTGTGGAGGATGTCGCTTCACTGGCCCAAGTTGGCACCATCATTGCGCTCTTCTCTGGCGAGGCAGATCAGTCGCCGGCTTCTGGACGGCCGTTCACTGCGGCTGCTGGCCGCTCACGCTGGCTGCTGGCTACACACGGTAGCCCATGGCAACCCACTGCAGCAGGGGCTGCAGCTTACGCCGTCGCCGGCGACTCATGGCAGCCCAGCTCCAGGTTGAGCTGTTGTTCAGCATCTTAGCTGTGGAGGGCAGTGTCACTGGCCCTCATATGTGGGATCCGAACCGGGGTCCTCTGGCATCCCAAGCGAGTTCTTAACCATCACGCCACTCGGCCAGGCCCCATTAAGAAGTTTTTAAGGTGGAGATAAATGTCAGCAAGACTGAACTTAACTGGGTGGTCGTCCCTGAAGGTACATATTTAGGGTTGGTTCTCAGAATTGTCACTTCATCAAGCTTGCTTAAAAATAGAAGATTTACTTCATTTCTCAGCTTGAGTCAAAAGTAATTTCTTTCCCTCAGAATCCCCATTCCTTGACAGAAATGATTTTAAGCCAGTTTCCCTATTAACTCACTCTCATTCTACTGTGACCAAACATGACTGAATTTTCTTCTTCTATCTTTTGAAAAATATGTAAAAATACATCAAATGTTTATACAAATTATGGTCCTGCCCAGAATTTTTATTTGCAAAAGCATTATCTGTAGCATGGAATGGAAGGATATAGTCTATAGGATATTAGAAATAAAGCAATAAGTACTCTATGATTTGTACATTCTGTATTCCTTAGACTATTTTTAAGAGTTGATAGGTAGAATGTTAACTTGAGCCTGATGTATACCTATTTTATAGGGTTCAGAAAATCAGGGTACCAATGCCTTTTCCCTTAGGTTATTGTATTTCAGTATTACAGTCCTTTTATGTATCCCATTGTCCAGTATAGTGTCATCCCTATATATTTTTGGATTTAAAATTTATATGATACCTCTCCCTACCTTGTCCACTAAATCCTTCCCCAAACATCGATTGTAGGAACACCCTAAAGACATAGTAAGAAGAATTTAAAGCACATGAATGGCACTCTTTCCTCATTCAAATAGATGTATACATAGCAATAAATTCATTTAAATAGATTTAGTGATCTTCTCCTCTGCACATACCACTTGCACAATAGTCTTATACCATAAGGAACTTAAAATCTTGTTGAGAGATAAGTTGTACAAGCTCATATGCCTTCAGGGTCCCATCAGTCAACAAATGGTGACTTGGACAGGTGTAAACGATAGGGGTGGTGAAGACTTTGGGAACTAGTGATTGCATACTTCATTTAAAGAAATTCCAATTTAATACTTTTTCAAACCATTGTGTTGGGCAGGGGTCGGCACACTTTTGAGATGGAAGAGCCAGCAGAAGTCAGCAAACTGCAGCTTGTGAGCCTCTGAAGTAAAATTGAAAATGAAAATGAAACAAAACTATCATAGTTTCATTTATAAAATTTTTAAAGGATATTATTCACATAACGGTGATTATGTAAAAATATATTTATGGCTCTCGAATAATTTTTAAATTGTTGTGAGGGACAGGATTGGCTCTTCAGGGGTCGGCAAACTTTTGAGTCTGAACGTACCCAAAGAGCTGCATGTGGCTCGCGAGCTGCAGTTTGCCAACCCCTGGTGTTGGACACATGAAACATTTTTAGGGAAAATTTAACCTATTGGGTAGGACTTAGGACAGCCAACTTTTCAATGTTTCAGTTATCTACTGCTGTGAAACAAGCCAGCCTAAAATTTGAGTGTTAAAACCATAGTGATTATTCATTCTTCTGTCTCGTGGCTCTGGAAGTCACTAGGCTCAGCTGGGTGGTTCTTGCTCATGGTCTTTCATGTTGTCGCAGTCAGATAGTGACTGAGACTAGAGTCATGTGGGAGCCTTCCTCTCTCAGGTCTAGTGGTTGATGCTGGCTATTGGCTGGAATGCCAATTATAGCGCCTCTGTGGGTACTGGGCTTCTTTATGGCATGGTGATTGAACAAGAAACTTCAAATAGCAAGTTTGCTGAGAAAGGAAGGGAGGGCGCACGTGTGCACACCCAGGGGAGGTTGTATCGCCTTTCACTGCCTAGCATGGGAAGTCATACAGTGAGTCACTGAGGCCAGCCCGTAATCAAGAGGAGAGGAATTTAGACCCCACCACTTATTGGGAAGAGTGTAAAAAAAATGACCAACGTAGATTAAAACCAGCACAGGTAGCCTTACATTAGAGAATAATAAAACTAAATATATAATAAACTTGGATGTAATCAGGGTGATATAGAACATATTTAATGGCTGGTTTGGTGTGGGCACTGACCAATAATAAGAAATAATAGCATCCATAACTGATAAGTTGCACTGGTGCAGCCACCTAATATGAGCTCTGCGTATAATCAAGGCTCCTAACATGCCCCAGAATCAGCAAGAGCTCTGGGAGGTCAGGAAAGGTGAGGTCATGTGTCTGAATTAAGATGTTTTAGGTGTTCTTGCTGAAGCTCCACAGGCCCCAGATGGTTGTTTGAGTTCGTTCTTTTTTTTTTTTTCTTCTATCTTTGTCCATCATCAGTTACAAACATTTTCCTTACATGCCTCTTACCCTAATGTTTTGAAAGTTTATTATTTGCAAAAGGGAGGGGAGTTGAGAGGGATGGGAAGAGAAGGGATGAGCTCTAGGAATACACATAATCTTTTGTACATATTGTGGTTCAGTCCAATGTCATTTAGAAGCCAAGTTGAGAGACACCTGGTTCTCCCTTCTTGACCCAAACAGCATACATACAAATGCTTGGTTCTTGGTTCTTTGCATAGTGCATTAGTTTTCTGTTACTGCTGTCACAAATTACCATAACCTTAGCACCTCAAAATGACATAAATGTATTATTTCACAGTTCTGTGAGTCAGAAGTGCAGGTTGGCTTGGCTGGTTTCTTAGCTCCAGGTTTTATAAAGCTGAAATCAAGGTATCAGCTGGCTGGGAAGAATCCCTTCCAAGCTCATCAAGTGTTGGCAGAAGCCAGTTTCTTGTAGTTACCGAACTGAGGTCCCTCCTTCCTTCCTGGCTGTCATCTGGGAGCCACTCTTCACTTGAAAGGTCTCTCTCTGGTCTTTGCACATGGCCCCTACATCTCAGAGCTAGCAACAGGTTATGGAATCCTTTTCACTCTTGAAATGTCTCTGAATTCCTGTTCTGTAGCATCTTTTCTGACTTCCTCTTCTGTTGCATCTCTTGGATGCCAGTCAGAGAAGGTTTTCTGCTCTGAAGAGCTCAGGTGATTGGAATGGGCCCACCTGGATAATCCCGGATGACCTCCTGTTTTTAGGTCCCTGTTAGATGTAAACTTAATCACATCTGCAGTCCTCCTTGCCATGTAATATAACGTAGTCAAGGGTCCAGGGATTAGGATGTGGATATATTTTGGGGGCCATAATTCTATCTGCTTTAGGTAGCAACATGAAGTCAATGAAGGTGCTTTCTTGTCTACTGATTTCCTCAGGAAAAGAGGCCAGTCATGAAGTTTGTGTTAAAAATTAGGGCTTATTGAAATACTAATCCTAACATTGAAGGAAAAGAAGATGCATTTATGGAAATGAGTATAGGTTTCAGTTTTGACAAGAGAAGGGACACTGTCTCTCTTAATGTCCAGTAATGTCTCCAGTATAATAGAATACTTAAGAGAACTGATTTGAAGTCTAACAGACCAGATTTTGGGCAAGTATACAATGTTTGTAAGTCTCATCATCCTCATCTGTGAATAGAAAGTGCTTAGGACACAGGAAGTGCTTAATGAATGTTAGATGATGATGATCATCATCATCATAATAATAATAATAAATAGAATGACATATTCATGGACTTTATAGGTGGAGAGAAGGTATGGGTGGACCAACTAGAATCAACACTTGGGTTTCCTACTGGTTTCATATTGCTGACATAAATTATTAGTCTGATATAATTCTATTAAACAGAAATTAGTAAAATGATTGTTCTAAAAAGGAATTTACACAAGCTTATTTTAAGCAATTTAGCTTAAGACAAATTGCTTGGTTGTAATCATAAAGGGCAGCAGTGGAAACTCACAGCCATCTAGGTCAGGGGTCAGCACACTATGGCTTGTGGGCTAAATCTTGCCTGCTGCCTGTTTTTGTGTGGCTCATGAGCTAAAAATGATTTTTAGAGATAAAAATTAGTTGATTTTGCAGTCAATTTGATGATGGGAAGCACTAACTTTGAACCCCAGTTAAGCAAAGCGTTACCCTGCCTTCAAATAATTCCATTCTTCTTATTAATAGGCCTGTATTATGAAAAATTTTACTCGATTATTATATTTTGAATTTCATAAAAAATCTGTGGAATATTTTCTCTCACTAGAGAAGTACCTACATAACATCCTTGATTTTTCACCTTTGCCTGAAAAATATCTATATGTTTATGATGTGACTTTTCATAGAAAAAAAATTTGGCGAGCCCTGATCTAAGTAACCTACTGTGCATTTAAAATGGAGTCTAGACTCTTCATTGCTGGAAGGTACTCCTAAGATCTCCTAGTGCCATACCTTAATTTTATAGCTAAAGCTGAATCCTACAAAGCTGTTCCGACACAACGCAGCTAGTTCATGATAGGGGCAGGACAAGTCTTCAGATCCTTTGGTGCTTAAATAAACTTTCCACCAGAGTAGGCAGATCCTCTGGGTTGCATGGTTGTACTTTATTCATCTCTCTTTACCTGGACCTCTGTGTTGTCAAAAGTCCATACCTTTTAATGTGAACAGGTCAGAGGGGATGCAGCATAGAAACTCAGCTGTCCCATGGACCCACGGAACAGGGCCTGGCAAACATCAGCTTGTTGCTGGGTTTCCATCTGCAGGGAGAGCCCTTTAGATTCTAGGATTTCTCATTAAAGATGTTTCAGAAGCACTGGTGCTGACTGTTTCCGTTAAGTTAGCGCCAGTGAATAGCCAGGCATGTTAATATATTCACATTGAACCATGTTCAGTTTAGGATGAAATTGTTTATTGAGCAGAGCAATAGCCCGAAAGTGAAGCGATCACTTCCCCTCGTGCCCCATATCCCCATTGCTGCCTGGTTATTTGCTAATAAATCCCGCCATATTGTGCTTGTTCTTGCTTCCCTCCTGCCTGAATAATGACAATCACTTGGTGATATTTGTTTCTCCTTCTACAGGTGGTTTACAAATCCGACGACCGTCAATGCCTTCTATAGTGCATCCACCAACCAGATCCGTGAGTACTCGGCTGTTTGTCTCCTTGTTAATCTGGCACAAAATGGAAGAAACTTTTCCATGACTATGATTAAGGGTAGAACATTCTTTATTCCCCCCGCCCCCAAAGTGACCAGGTATGTTGGTAAAGGAAGTTTGTTTCCATACCCATATGCCCAATCTTCCTCACTCCCTTCACCTTATAACTTTTTCCTAACACTTAATATCACTATTGGGTAATAAATAAAATCAGCTACAGTAAATGAAGCTACAGTGAAGTTGGCCAAGAAAAAGGAGCAAGCTTCCACTTTCCTCCCATAATGGTCTTACCGATTTTGTCCATCCCATTTTGTTTATTTCTAAGATTGATGGGAAAAACAAGCAGGTAACTGGGCAGATTGTAGAACCTGAGGGGACTATCCATATATAAGAGATGTTTGGAAATGTTCGAATTAACCTGAAGATGTATACTCTTGAGTGTCTTTTATTTACATGTTTTTGGTACATGTAGTTACAAATGCCATGAGAAGTTTAAAAAATGATTAAAGATCACTTGGGCACAAATTAAAAATCGGACAGCACCAAGTGTTGGCAACAGGGACAAATACTCACTGCTGGTGGAAATGGGAACTGGTTCGCCCACTTTGCAGAGCAGTTCGGCAACACCTAGAAAAGCTGGAGATGCCCATACATATTCTGGCCATCATCTGCACTCTTTTTAAAATTTTTAAAAATATTTTTTGGGGGAATTGGGGAAGGCGAATAGTGTTGGGGAATCAGAGAAGGGGAACATTGTGTTTTTCCAGGACCCATCAGCTCCAAGTCAAATTGTTGTCCTTCAATCTTAGCTGTGGAGGTGCAAGCTCAGCTCCAAGTCCAGTGGTTGCTTTCAATCTAGTTGTGGGGCGAAACCCACCATCTCATGTGGGAGTCGAACTGGCAACCTTTTTGTTAAGAGCATGCACTCTTACCAGGCTCCAAGTCAAATTGTTGTCCTTCAATCTTAGCTGTGGAGGTGCAAGCTCAGCTCCAAGTCCAGTGGTTGCTTTCAATCTAGTTGTGGGGCGGGGGGGGGGCACAGTCCACCATCCCATGAGGGAGTTGAACTGCTGCCGTGTTCAATATTAGTTGTGGGGGGGAGGCGCAGCCCACCATCCCATACGGGTATCGAACCGGCAACCTTGCTGCTAAGAACATGCGCTCTCACCAGCCCAGCGGCAGCTCAGCTCATGTTGCAGTTCACTGGCCCATGTGGGAATCAAACCAGTGACGCTGTTGCTCAGAGCTTGCGCTCTTAGCCCACTGAGCCACTCGGTCGGCCCCATCATCTGCACTCTTGGCATGTGCCCTAGTGCTGTGATTCTACAAGTGTGGTCCTGGGACCAGTAGCAGCAACATCACAGGGGAACTTGTTATACATGCAGATTCTTGGGCCCTGCCATAGACCCATCATTCACGAACCCTAGAAATGGGGCTCAGAAACCTGTTTCATGAAGCCCTCCAGGTGACTGACATAGTTTGAGAACTGCAACCCTAGAGAAGTCTCACACACAAAGGCCCGTGTGAGAATGCTCATAGCAGTATTGTTTACAGTAGCAGAGCCCGCTTGAGCCCTTGCTCGTTTCTCATCCCCCACTGCACATCTTCTGGTTTCTATCTTCACTCCCTTGTTTGGTAATAAAACCTAATCCCATGGTTTTAAGTGCATCGCTATGCTGTTTGTTGAATGCAGGGGATGGAGTTTATAAAGACTTAGCATCCTTGACCATGACCCACCATCTCCCCCCCACCGTCAGGTACCTATAATAGACTCCTCAGTAGCCTCCCGGCTTCTGTCCTTATCCCCCTTCAGTCTATTCTAAATATAATATTGAAGCCACTTTAAGATGTTTTACAATCATCTCATTTCCCTTCTTTGCTCAGAACCTTTTGTCACCTTCCCATCTCATTCAGAATAAAAGCCAAATTACTTGCAATGGCCCAGAGGCCTCTTATCGTGCTGCCTTGACCTCCCCTCTGTCCCAGCCACACTGACCTCCTTCTGTTCTTAGAGCATGAGACACCGCCCCACCCCCCACCCCCCCGGTATTTATACTCAGGGGCCCTCTTTGCCCAGGAAAACTTCCCCAAGTGATCTGCCTGGTTCGCACTCGCACTTCCTGAGATCTGGGCCGGAATGCCACGTTCTCAGTGAGGCGTCCTGCCTGCCCACTGTAGATCCTCTGTGCTGGGCCTCATGCCAACAGGACTCCCTGGCCGGACAGGACAGCCCTGATTGCCCACTCCCAGCAGGCACATCTCCTTAGAGTCGCCCTCATGTGGCCACTCAGGCAAATGGCAGCCTCTGCAGGATGGTCTGCGAATGAACAGAAGGAAAACAAGCAGATGGTGGTAATTTTTGATTTCTACATTAATTTATATAACCAAATCAGTTGTTAAATCTTTTGAATATTTCAAATGTAACTCCTTACTATAGAAATATTCATTATCATGAAAATACCATTGCTTTCTTTCCCTCCCCACCCCCAGCTTTATTGAGGTATAATTGACAAATAAAAATTGTCTGTACTTAAAATGCACGGCATGATGTTTTGATATAGCTCCACATTGAGAACTAAGCTGCATATGGGAACTTATGATATTTGGGATATTAATTATAAATACTATTTATAACAATATGAATTATATTTATATAATGTGAATTATAATATTTGGACTAACCTATTGGGCAATAGAAAATTCCTTAATTATTCATTTTAAAAGAAAATGTTTTATGTAATATTTAGCACATGCAAAAGAATATATGTAACATGTGAGAACATATAAAGCTATAAAGTATATAAGAAAACATATGATGAATATAGGCCTATGAGTTCAGCACCCAACCAAGAACTGGAACATTCCCAATGTCATTGCATCTGTCTGTGCCCCTCCCCACCCCATTTCTCCCCCACACCATGGAGGTAACCACTATTCTGATTGCGTATTTATCATTTTCTTGTTTTTAAAAAATAAATGTTAAGTTTATTTAAGTATACCTAAAGGCATTTAAGTATACCTAGACAATATAGTGTTTATTTTTGCTTATGTTTTAGCATAGTAAATATGCATAATGCATGCAGTCTTAAGCAGCTGTGTTTTTCCAATCAACATGTTTTTAAGATTCATTCACATAGCATGTGGCAGTAGGTTTTCTTCATTTTCATTGCTCTGTAATACTTCATTGTGTGACTGGACCCCAGATTACTTATTTGTTTTACAGACCTTTTCTGTTGACAGACCTATGTGTTTCCCCCCAGGTTTTTGCTGTTATGCATAATCTCATACATGTCCCCTGAAACAAGTGTTTGGGGCATATACTAGGAGTGGAATTACTGGCTTGTAGAGCATGAAAATACTCAACTTTACCAGATAACACCAAATGTTTTCCAAAGTGAGTGTTCCAAAGTACAGAAGTGTTTTCATCAACTCTCATTTTCATCGGTTCTTGGCATTGGTAGGCTTGATTTTCACCAGTTAGTGAATGTAATAGATTAGCTCTTATGCAAGACAAGGCATTGAGATAGACTCTTCCCCAATGCTTCCACATTCACTTTCCAATGTCAGTGAAGGCTTAATACTTCTTGGGGATTTAAGTATGCCTAATAATAATTCTGCCTGCAGGATTCACCCCTGCTCAGCCTCTTCTTGTCTGGGAAGAGCTGATCCTGTCAGAAGTTCACTGAAGAAGCAGCCATTTCAGGGTAACCCCGTGGTTTCTTGAAAACTCATGAGCAGAGGGGGTTTGAAATGAACAATTTGAAGCAGTATTTTAATTAAGAGATTCAAGCTGTTTCTATTTTCCTAATGACCAGTGCTTGCTCTCATTGTAAATTACATTCCCAGGCAAGATGACAAGGAATCCTTTGGGTGACTTTTTTTCCCCCTCTCTCTCCTTTCTGATTTTCTGGACTACAAATTAAGACAGGTGGAGTTCCCTCTTATACATTTCCCCACTGGGTTTCTTGGGACTTCCCTCCAGCCCCCAACTGCCTTCTTTGTGCTTCACTGAAGAAGTGAAAAATTGAGGTGATTTTCTGAAATGAACATCTTTATTGATTAGGGGCTGATTCTGACAGCATGTGGCCATCTGTTTAATTGGGTTTCACATCTAAGATGTAACTATACTTAGTAACATGATTTATGGGAATTATATTCAGTTCCCATTATCATTTTCTGATTTATGCCACTTAAGTCTGCTTCTGCACACAGTAGAGACTTGAGTAGAAAATAGAAGAACCTGTATGTTTTCTTTTGTTTCTTGCAAATCCATGCCTTTGTGTAAAACTCTATGGTATGTGACCATCTTTCAATGTTAGATTTTTGCAAGGTAGTTATACCTCCTTATTTTTCTACCCTTGTCATGATGGGTAGCATGTCCTCAGGTACAGAGTGCAGTGTGAAATAATAATGATTTAAGTCTGCTGTACAAGGAGTCATATTTAGGAGCTATTGCAGAACTTAATTATATTTCACAGATAAGGTTGTTAATGAGGAAAGTAAGGAGCTGAGGTTGGTGGTGCCCAAGCTTGTGCTTCTCTAACTTTGTGGTACCTGCAAAGCTGGCCTACCTACTTTGAGTACGGAATCAGCGTGGACCTCGATGGGAGACCTTGAGTGCCACTGATTTCGGCATATGACCTTGGTCAAGGTATTTCTGCTTCCTGATTCCTGTTGTCCTCATCTGCCACATGTTGAGGTTACCTAGCCCACAGAGTTCTGTGTGAGGATTTAGTGAGATGAATTTGACAACTGCCAGTACATTTCCATGGACAGGGTCTGTGTATTTAAAATTGACATGCCAGTAATACCCAGGATAGCCAATCTGTCATGGAATAAACAGCAGGATATAAAGATTTTGGGCTTCGGATCTCAAAATATTTTATAAATTAAAACAATATCTTGTGCATTAAAAATACAGCCAATTTGGAAAAGTGTTTGGCAGCTTGTTGCTATCTCCTATAACCCAGAAATTCTATTTTT